CAGGAAACTTCCGCTAGTTGTTTGAAGAAAGCCTCATCCATCATTTGTTCCTGGTCTGGTGGTCTATAGCAGCCCCCCACCACAACTTAATCCTTATTGCCCTCCCCTCTGACCTTGACCCAGAGACTCTCAACAGGCCCATCTCCAGTTTCATGGGGAGCTCTGAGTAATCATGTAAAAGAGCCATATAAAGTGCAAGTCCTTCTCTTGTTTCCTTCCTGTCCTTCCTGAACAGTTTGTACCCATCCATGACAGTGCTCCAGTCCTGCCAGCTATCCCACCATATCTGTTATTCCAATCACATCATAGTGCTGCAACTGTGTAAGGGCTTCCAGTTCTTTCTGCTTGTTTTCCAGGCTCTGTGTATTTGTGTACAGGCACTGGAGGTAACTAGTTGTTTGCCCTGATTTCTCAGGTAGCATAACAGCACCTCCACTGCTAGAGACTGTTCTGTGTCCAGCTAGCCTCCTCGAAAACTGTTACTCTTCTCTGCCAAATCCTCCTTCCCTCCCTTTGTCTACTTTCTCCCCATCTCGGATCCCAGGCTCTCTGCCTCAATGTCTCAGCAGCCCGCAGGAAAAAAGGAGTCCGGAACATGCCCTTTCCGCCCCTGGCTGCATCCTTCTCCTCCCTGCCGCGGGAGACGGAGCACCTGCGGTAAGCGGAATTGTACTCGGATGGGGGGCTGCAGCGGGATTTCTAACGTGCTGCCCCTGCCCGGTCGCGGCGCCATGTGCTTCCTGGCCGCAAAGCCCAGGCCACAGCAAGGCACCGGGTTGCCCATCACTCCCCCGGGGCGGCGCCCCCATACCAGGAGCTCGTTCCCTCCGCTTCTGTAGTCACGGCCGTGGCCGGTGCGAGGTGGGCGTTGATTGGCCAAGCGTGTAGCAAGAGAAGAGACGGAAGCGCTTATTGGCCAGCAGCGGAGGGAGGTGGCTGGCCCGGAGTTGCCTCCATGTACCGTGGGGTACCTCGCGGAGCGCCCGCCATTGGCTGGTGCCGCTGTGGGCGTGGCCAGACCGGCTATAAAAGGCTGGAGGCGGCTGTTGCCGCGTTCACAGCCTGGTGCAGAGCGGAGTGTGGTGACTAGCGGGACTGGCCCGGCGCGACCCGACCCGACCATGTGAGTGCTCGGCGCGGGGGCCGGTGGCGGGGCGCGGCGCGG